CCAGAAATTCTAAGGGATAGATACTTTTCTAAGGGACAAATCTAAAGGATACTGGAATATAATCAGTAAAAAAAAAAAAAAAAGTACAAAAGACTGTGGACCTGGGGCTCCAAATACCTGGCCTGAATCCCATCATCAAAGCTTGGGGTAATCTGTGTGACCTTGGTAATACTGCTGGATCTCTGCAGCCCACAAGCTGCTCTTCTGGAAAGTAGGGATAACACTAGTCCCTCTACGGTTCTGCAAGATGGCTTGAAGATTAGATATAATAAAAATGTAAAGCACAGAGAACAGTGCCAAAAATACATCTCAATTATTACCAATAATGAAACATGTTAGTTACCTTTAATTAATACAAGCTAAAATCTTCTGTGGGGCAGAGAAAATTCAACTTTCCTAAAAATTAGCACAAAATATTTTCAAAATTCATTCAATCCCTACATCTATGACTATTTAACAAGTACCTTAGTGATCATTAACCTGGGTTCAAGTTAACTTTAGAAAAGCAGTCTTGAGTATTTCAGCAGCTGTAAACACTCAAGTAGTTAATGTTTTAATATTTAGATCTTTGATCCATTTTGATTTTAGTTTAGTACATGGTGACAGATACAGGTTTAGTTTTAGTCTTTGGCATGTAGAGAGCCAGTTTTTCCAGCACCATTTATTAATGAGGCTATCCTTCTACCAGTGAACATATTTGGCCCCTGTGTTAGAAATAAGGTGGCTGAGTGCTTCTGGAGTTGTTTTTGCATCTTCTAATCTGTTCCATTAATCCTCAGGTTTGTTTTGTTTTTGCAGTACCATGCTGATTTTGTCATGGTAGCTCTGTAGTATAATTTCAAGTCAAGGATAATATTAAAATGGAAACACTAAATCTGCTGGAAGAAAGAATTTGTAGGATTCTGGAAGACAGAGAAGTGGCAAAGACTTTATGAACAAAACCTCGATCAGACAGGAATTATCACAAAGAATCAACAACTGGGATTTCACCTTATTAAAAAGCTTTTGTACAGCAAAAGAAATCACCAAAAAGGGAAAAGACAACTCATACAGTGGCAAAAAATTTCTGCCAATTGTTCTTCAGACAAAGGACTAATATCTGCAACATAAAAAGAACCAAAAAAATAAAATAAAAACCGAACGCTCCAAATTCAAAGACTCATGTCAAAATGTGCATCTAGACGAATATGTACATCTCAGGTATAAATGGCAAATAAATATATGAAAAATGTTCAATATCACCAATCATTTGAGAAATACAAATTAAAACAATGTTAAGATTGCATCTCACTCCAGAAAGAATGGTTATTATCAAGCAAACAGCTAATACATATATGCTGGTGGGGTTGCAGGAAAAAAGAAGCCCTTCTCCGCTGTTGGTGAGAGCGCAGGCTGGCGCAACCGCTATGGAAATCGAAGTGGAGATTTTCTAAAAAACTAGGATTAAGTTGGCGATTTGGCTCAGTGGCATAAGGGCCTGCCTGGCAAGTGCGAGGTTGTGAGTTTGATCTCCAGTACCAAAAAATAAATAAACCCAAAACAAAAACTAGGGTTAAGACAGGTGTGGTGGCACGCTCCTGTAATCCAGCACTCACGAGGCTAAGGTAGGCAGATCCTTGCAAATCTGAGATCAGCCTAAGTTACAAAGTGAGCTCAAGACCAGCCTGAACCACACAGGGAGACCTTTCATGTTACTTCCTTTCTAAGTGGTGAGACAGAACTCTTAAAACATGCTTATGAAACATTTATATTTATTCTTGAAAATTTTAAGTTTGTTTCTTTTATACCTTTCTTTGAGGTTTCACTATCTTTTTGTTTTTTAGTTATTTGTAGGTTAAAGAGTTTCTTGTTTTTATATGCCTTATGTAAATATTTTCCCAGGGGGAGTACATTTGCTGCATGTACATGTACTTTTATTTTAAAACAGAAATTTAAAAATTCTATGCTGATAATCTATCAATATTCTGGAGGATGATTTTCTAATCCTTTAAAGATTAGCTAAACATATTCCTTTACATAACAGAAATGTTTGTCATCATTTTACTCTAGTTCTTAAAAAGGTTTTTATTTTGATATTTAAAACTGGTTTGTCAAGTGAAGATCTGATTTTAATGTGTGACCTAAGATGTACAGCACACCGACTGTATGTTTTTAATTAAGTCACAGTTAATGTGGAACAATTTATATTTTCCCATGGATTTATCTATCTTTATAACTTGTATCACATTGTTTGTATTTTTCAGCTTTATGTTTTAATACCGGGTAAGCAAAAGCTCGGGTTATTATTTTCTTCTCTCACTTTGCTTTTCTGGAGAAATGGAAAGACAGCTGAATTAGTTCCTATGTAGATAACCAGTTTTTCTATCAGGATCCCTGAGGAAATTTTTTTTTTCACACATTCTGGACTCTTCTTTAACAACATCAATTAACCACATGCACAATCTACCTCACATTCATCTCTTATTATCAACAATAAAAACCTTTATCAGTGATAATGCGTCAGATACCTGTACAAATGTATATATTCAAGATCTTGCTGAATCTTAATAAATACCCATTTTACAAATGAGACAAATTGGATTTAATTTATCCAGAGTCACAAGGCAAGCAGGGTGTGGAGCCTGTACATTTGTGGTATGCATATACTTAAGCAGTTGGCCCCAAGAGCTATGTCCTTAACTATAGTTCCTATCTTTTTTGTACTATACACACAGGCATGCTTCTGAAATTAGTTCTCCAGGTGATTGATCTGATATTTTTCAGTGTGAACTTTTCTCTTTACAATCTGCAATGTGCAATTAACTGAACTTTGTGTTTAAATTTCTTTAAATTCTTCTTACCTTAGCCAGACATCTTTTCAAATAAAAATATCAGATTGTCTTTAATTAGCAAAACTCTGACTTACTGTATTATACTGAGAACACAATCTAAAAATTGTTTCCTATAGTAAATCATTTAAAATATGCCTTTTTAAAATACAATTCTTTTTAATGGCATTCTTGATTTGAGATTTATTTTTCCAACCTTCAGCTGTCCAGTGGATGGGAACAGTGCTTAAGCTTATTTCTGGTAGATTTAGGCATTCCTGTTTTGTAGTCTATTGAAATGAAGCAGAATATTCTGTTTCTAAGTTTATGTTTTTGGGCTGTTAAGATAATTTACTCCTGAGATACTCAACACTGTGGACTATTCTTTTTCATTAACTGATGTTAACTTGGGTAATACTTTTACTTGTTTTTAATTCTACTGACCTGTTGGTCTCTTTCACTAACTTATATAATTACTACCATATATTATTTTATTATTATATTATATCGTTATATATTATATATTAAATGATATTAATATAAATCATTAAATGATGTTAATTTGGGTAATACTTTCACTTGTTTTCTACCTCTTGGTCTCTTACACTAATTTATATACATTATATTCCATATATAATATATATTATATATATACTTTCACTAGCTTATATACATATTTAGCAATAGTAAAAGCTCAAAAATTATGCAATGAAAAATTTAGCTACTTTTTCATAAACTTAGAAATTTTTCAAAAATAGCACAGGAAATTATACACAGAGTATTTCAAATTGTAAAACTCACAAAATTTTTGTCTGGCTTTTGAATAGAGATAGTTTCTCTGTCTATAATACAAGGGTAACTAAATTAATCATGCCTGTCTAACAAGGCTGCTACATTAAAGAAGGGCATGTGAGCATTATATACTGGATTATTAGAAGGCCCTGCCTCACATTATAGTTGAATATCTGTCACCAACTAGAAAACGATGCAAATTGAGATGAAGTGCTTAGCATCTTAGTGTTCTCTGGAGTACCTTAAATGCAGCAGGTAATTAACAAATATTTGAAGCAACTAAGTTTTCTTTATTCCAACTGGTGAAGTCCAGTCTGCAAAGCCAAGTTACATGTGGTCACAACATTCTACAAATGTTGTACACAGGTGTAGAGACCCAGAGTGTTCTTCGCTCGCCATAAGCAGAGGCCAAAAGTAGGCAGGCAGATACACGGCTATACGGCGGCACATAAGGCAATGCAAATTAGAAAACAGAAAATCAAGGAGCAAGACCATGAGTTGGGAAAAATGTCAACAATAGGAAAGCTCTGGGAAAAGAACTGAAGGGACAGACCAATCTCTCTGAAGACCTAGAAATGAATGGCCAATATAAGGAACACTGTGTAAAGAGAAATTAAAGAATTCAATTTTTCCTGAGTCATCATATATGTCTAATTGTTACTTAATCAAGATCATTTATATAGATCAGATAGGAAGAATATAAGAACTGCCTTCAAGGAGCTTGCAATTTAGATAAGGTCCCCAAACTTCTATTTATTAAGTTCTAAGCTCTAGGTAGGGACTGCAAACTGGACCATTTGTTCTCAACGTGTGGTCCTCTGGTCAACTTGACAGGGCCAACCAGGCCTACTGAGCCACAAACCCTAAGGATGTAGCCTGGCAACCTGCACATCAACAAGCCTGCCTGGTTATTGTGATGCACAATGAAGTATGAAGACCACTGAAGGAAATGTGAAATTTTAGACAAGATTTTATGGGGCTTTAAATGCCTGGGCAGAAACAACTTGTTTACACATTATCCATCCTTCCAAAAAATAGAACTTGTAATAAACTATCCTGCACTTCAGTAATCCTACTGAGCAGGGCTGAGAAAGCCAGCTTCTCTTCCTTTTCTAGAAGACAGAATCATACTCATGCATTATGTCCTAGGTGTGGTCTCCTGATTCACAGCCCTCTCTGGTCTTTATAGAGATATCATGCCAAGACAGCATAATAGATCATTCTAGATTTATTTATCTACTTCAATTAATGATTGCAGGAAAAATATCAGAAAGAAACCACTACTGTATAAGAAAATCTAGTTTTGAGAAATTAATTTACTTCATTAAATAAAAATTTATTGGCATGCTAATGTAAAACATGAAATGATTTTAAAATGCCAACTGCATAAATTATACATACTGTTTCAAGTCTCTGTTTCACTATCTGCATCTTTGTTGAAGAATTTTCAGTGTGCATGAATTCACCAATCTGAAAAGAGCCTTGATGAGGCAGTTTAGGACAGGAATATGGAGCATCTTGACTTTGGTGTTTTCCAGGCAATGGCAATGTTGCATTGTAGCATCTGAACATTTCAGCCTCCTGCTGGGCTACTGAAAAAATAAACCCAAAATTAGTTCAAATTATCATAGCAAAACCATAATAAAATTGTTAAGCCATGATACTGCAGCATTCAATCAGAAATTACATAATTTAAATACTGGGTTAGAGGAAGACAATATGACTGGCAAAATGTGAAATCACTGTTTACTATAAAATCAACAGGAAAGAAATATAATAATAATTTTACAATTTCAAGTCAGGTAGTAAAAATCATATGCTTTAGCCACATAGATTTAAACATGCGACTGCATTTAAATATCTGTAAGAGAAAACATAATAAAAAAATTCAAGGCCTAATACAATTAAAAGAAATGATAAAATATTAAAAATAATTATTCACAAAACCATCTTCCAAAAACTGTTTTTATATTTCCATATCTCTCCTAATCTTTGTACATATATATATTTCACATAAAATATCATAATGCAAATATAATTCAACATTTTTCAATAATGCTACAATTACCATTCTGAAATGCTTTACAATACCTCATCTAATAAAATAGAATAACTTAAAATACATTTTCCTATTAGGACTTAGCAAGATCATCTCTTTTAAAAAAAATGCTTAGAATATGGCTCAGTACAAAGGCCTTGGGTACGATCTTTGATACTGTGAAAAGGAAGCAAAGGAGGGAAGGATGGACAGAGGGGAGAAATGAAGGAAAGATGGAAGGAAAGAAAGAAGGAAGAAATGGCAGGCCTTTCTAAATATGACCTAAAAGGAAGAAATCTCAAAATACGGAATCAAAACATGGAATCAACGATGAGCCTTCAAAGATTCTGTGGGAATTATAGGTGTGTGCATGCACATAAATGTTTATGAAAAGGAGATTCATCACTTTGATCAGATTATCCATCAGAGAATTATTAAGAAATTAAGAATTTTCTTTGGACAAATAGGACAGACTTTACTACAAGAACATTTGAAATCCTTATTAAAATAAACACTACCACAATAAAACTTAAAAAGCAAGTAATAGGCAACAGAATTACTCTATTTCTGGTCAAAATGAAATAAAAGGAATTAGATTTTCTCTTTAGTTTGCAACCACCAAAACATGAAAAGAAAAAAAAAACCCTTTATTTGCAAGAAATGCTTATTGCCCATGTGTCATGGTTTATGTCTGTGTCCCCCAGGCCTCATGAATTTGCATTGTGTATTTGTGATTGGTTCATTGTCTAATGCTTAGATTGACAGTGTCACTGTTCCACCCACCTAGGAGTGGAGCCAGGATGTGATGTAATGGCAGGAAGAAGGTGTGTCTTGCTCTTTGCCGGTTCCTATTTGCAGCTGCCATGAAAGGCAGCCCAGTCATGCCTGCCTGCCTGGGAGCCAACTGAGTGTGGACCTCCAAAAACTGTAAGAAATAAACCTTTCCTTTCCCAACTTTGGGCTTCAGGTATTTTGTCTCAGCGATGAGTAAAAAGTAACTAAGACACCATGTTATACTAAAACTAGGTGGAGAAAAGAGAAACATGTAGGGAATGCAATCTAAGGAGGTAATCACTCTGGAGTCCTGAGCCCACATCTGGATAAAAGCTGAATAGAATTTAAAATATGAGCCACTAGAATTAAACACTCACTTTAGCTAAGTGGTAGGCTATGAGATCAATATATAAAAATTAAGTAATGCTCTTGGCATAAAGGTAAACAGAGATCTGAAAACAGAGAATACAGCATGTATAGACAAGACAAAAAGGCAATTCAGTGAAGAAAGTCTTTTCAATAAACGGTTGGGAAGAGCTGGGTTTTAGTATGTAAAACAATTAATTTTGATCCAACTTCAAAAACGTAAAAAATAATTCAGAATAAAGCACAGATCTAAACGTAAAACCTAAAACTATAAAACATCTAAAACAATGCAGAAAAAAATTTTATGAGCCTGGATTAAGCAAGATTTCTTATATTAAAACTAAAATCTATGAGACAACACTATTGGTAACATGGACTTCCAAATGTTTGTTCTTTAAACTGTCAAAACAATTAGAAAACAGGCCAAAGCCTGGGGGGAAATAACTAACAAATCATATATCAGATATAGAAATTGTATACAGAACTTTCAGATTATATGTAAAAAATTAGAAAAACAAATAAGCTAACTCAAAATTGGGCAAAAGATCTGGATAGACACTCCACTGAATATGCTATCAGGATGATAAATAAGCATGCAAAAAAGGTAATCAACATCATTAGTTACTAGGGACAAGTAAATTTAAAGTGCACTGAAGTAGCACTACATATGGCCATTTCAAATTTGGCTAGGACATGGAGATACTGACACATTCCTACATTATTGGTGGGAATGTAAAAGCATGACTACCTTAGAGAACAGTATTGCAGCTTCTTAAAAAGTTGTACATCTCTAATATGATTCTGCCCTTCTATTCGTAGGAATTTATCCAAGGGAAATGAAAGCTTATGCCTACACAAAAACTTGTACATGAATTCTCACAAGAGTTTTATTTTCAATAACTAAAAACTGGACACAAGCCAAATGTCTATCAACAGAATAAACAATCAACAAATTCTGATTTATCCAGTCGCTCAAACTACAGTCAGCATTAAATATTATAACTACTCATAAACAGTATAATATAGATGAATCTCAAAGTAATTATGAATGAAAGAAACCAGAGCAAACAATACATGGTATATACTGCTTTGCTTATATATAATTTCATAATATGCAAAATAATTCAAACTGTTGTTGAGCGGGATAGGGAGCTAGGGTGTGATTTAAAGGTGCACAAACTAACTTTGAGAATGATGGGTATGTTCATTATCTTAATTGAAATAATGGTCTCACAGTATATAAAGGTCTCCACTAATGAGAGCATATAAGTTAAATATATGAAGTTTCTTGCATATTAAGTAAAGCTATTCACACAAAAAGCAAATGAAAAATGGTGATAAAAAGGGTAATTACTTGTAATATGCGGAAAGTACTTACAAAATCCATTTAAAAATAATAATACAATGAAAAAACGGGCAAAGAATCATTGCAGAAAATTCACAAGAACAATGTGTCCAATAAAAATACTTAATAATGAAAAAAATACAAATTAGAAAGGGATTTTTTTTTTTTTTGGGCTTGGTCCATTGTATCTCATCAAACTTAGTTTCATCAACCAGAAGTTTAAAGTAATTATAAAAAATTTTAAGCCTTTGTTCGTATGTTCACACACTACCTCAGATAGGTCCTCCTGAGGAAGAGTAGCCCACTAGTAACTAGTGTTTTTTCCCTACACGGTGATATTAAGTACTAGAGGACACACAGGGAGAGGACCTGCTAAATAGCCTCTTTAACTGATGTGCTCTCTTCAGTACCGGTTACTGTTCTTAAATCCAGTGTAGCCATTCTTTCATAAATTTTTATGGGTCTATTATTTTTAAAGTGTATACTTTGGACTGTACCTGGAACAATGAGAGCATCTATTTTATCCTTAAATATTCAAAGACTATAGAACAAGAGAAAATCTTAAAGCCGTAAAAAATAAATGAATAAAATGTTCTCTGGATTGGAATTTGGAAAGTTTACCACTAGAGTGAATGGCCTCAGGGTTAAGTCAACAAGTACTAGTATGTTTCATCTTTGCTTTTTAAAACTGTTCTTTCAACATTTAACAGTTTTTTCTTGCATGAAGGGAAAGTAAAGCTGAGTATAATTATTTAATAGCATTTTTAACTTCTTAAATTCTTTAAGCATTTGAACTTACCAATCATGATACCATTTTAACCTGTAAGCTAGTGAGCATGCACAAAAATGGGCAAGAAGTATAAGCTACAAATAAAAGGTCTGTAGAATTGTAATATTTTTCAGCTTATTCTTTTTGTTAAGCTGTATTTCCTAAATGTTACAACATGCTACACATGTATTTTTAAAATTTTTTTAAACTGGTAAGAAATAAGAAAAGGCATTACCTAAATATTATGTTTTAATAATTTTTCAAGGTACATATTAAGTGGTCCATCATAAAGGATTAACATAGCTTAAATGAATGCAGATAACGAAAGTTAAATGCAAGCAATCATAGGTACTTATTTCTGTTTTGTGAAGGGCATTTTTGATATGAAACCATCTGATTCTATTTCAAGGGCTCAAATTAACCCCCTACTGTATGTTTAGCACCTTTAGGTCTATGCAGAAAGACATAAAATATTCTGCACAAAAGTTCACAAAAACCTAGTTTCAAAACAGAAGTTGCTCCTACTCCCTCAGCCCCCACAAATTTATACATTTATCTTATACATAAGACACATATTTTTCCCATTATGAAATGGGTTCAAAAGATGACTTCTGATATTCCTTCAAGCTCTTAACATTCCAAATACTTCTAAAACACTTTTACACCATAGTTCACCAGTTTTTCTTCTCTAGGCCACTTAGTATGTTTATAACTTAGTTCTGACCTAACCTGGCATATTTAAAATCACAATGATAACAGTCCTGTCCTCACTTTGGCATCACTTTTTGGACACTTCACTAATAGGTACATACAGCAGAGTAGGCTCTGAGAATACAATGATACTGACTCTTTGGGATTTCAACATTTTGGGGGTGAAGAAATTTCTGCAAGGTGCTAAGTGGGAAGGTGGAGAAAAAGACAAGGTGGGGAAAGCACGTGGGTAGCAACTACATTTGCTCTAAAGAACGCTGTATCTACCAAAATGCTTCTCCAGTAGGTTATAATTTGGAAATCTAAATTTTATACAATTAGAAGTATTCCTAAAATGTGTGCATAACTCATCCTCTATTTATACAATAAACTCAGTGCTTTTGTGTATTTTTTGGCCTTAGGCAACTGCAAAAAATAATGCCATTTTCTCAGGAGATTTTTATCTTTCAAGGAGGAAGAGTGGAGGAAATAAGATATGTTAATCCACCACCCTTTGCATTTGAAGCAGACACAAGGTTTGCTATCACCAAAATTTATGTGTACTTTTGTTACTGACATTTTAGTATAGTGCCAACTAAAATCACAACAT